TAGGTTTAAGTCTGTATGTTTTAGGTAAGTTGCTACACAGTAATAGATAGTAAACAGTGGCAGTTGGGAGATGATATTGAAGAAGCCAGACAATGAGTAAGTAATAATAAAAATATGTAGGAAGATTTAATAAGTTAGATGATCAACTCGGGAGGTTCCATAGCTTACGAATGAGAACTTGAAAAAGGAAGGAGTGAGGGAACAATAAAAAGGAAACACAGTTCCTCAGGAAAGAATGGCATGGATTTTTAGGATGGAAGAGCCATGACTGTCTGTCACAATGCATGCAAAAGGGCTGCACTACATTCCATTACAGTATTTCAGAACACCAGGGAATAGACATCAAGACGTTTCAGAAAGAAAGGCATCTAGCTAGAGGAGTAAAGCTACCCCTTCAAAATTTCCCACCTAGAATTCTACATCTGGAGAAACTGTATGAGGCTTGAAGAAAGTCATTCTATGTTCACAAATATAACTCTTACGCATAAAGCAAATGGTTACTTATTAAACACTAGTTAGTTACTCTTGCGGAGGACCTGGGTTCAGTTCCTAGCATCTTCATGGTACCTAACAACTGTCTCTAATTCCAGTTCTAGAGGATCCAAAGCCTTCTTCTGGCTTCTGGCACACAAATCTATAAATAGGCAAAATGCTCATACCCATAAAATAAAAACTAAAAACAATTACTAAGTAGAAATCATCTGTCTGTATTTTTGTTTGTTTGTTTGAGACAGGGTCAGTCTGTTGGCCAAGCTTCACTTTGTAGCCCAGGCTGGACTTGAATTTGTGGCATCCAGCCAAGTCTCCTAAATTCTGGGATTACAGGTATGAGCCACACCTGGTTTCATATGTCCATGCATCTGTGTGTATGTGGTATATGAATATGTATACGTGTGTGTGTGTGTGTGTGTGTGTGTGTGTGTGTGTGTGTGTGTGTGTGTGTGTGTGTGAAGGCCAGAGGTCAACTTCAGGTATCTTCTTCTATTGCTCTCTGTCTTAATTTTTATAATTTAATTTTTATGTGTATGCATGTTGTACCTGCATGTATGTCTGTGCACCTTTTGTGTGTCTGGCACCTGCAGAGACCAGGAAAGAGTGTTGGATCTGCTGGACTGGAGTTACAGATGGTTGTGAGCTGCCATGTGGGTGCTGGGAATTGAACCAGGTCCTCTGCAGAGCATCTCTGAGCCATCTCTCCATATCCTCCCCCCCCCCTCAGTTTTTTTGAGACATAGTCTCTCAATGAACTTGTACCTCACCATTCCAGTTTGGGCTGGCTAGTGAGCCCTGCAGATCTGCTTGTCTCCATATCCCCCAGTGCTGGGTTTACAGCTGTGTTTTGCCTCAGTGTGTTATGTGGATGCTGAGGATTCAAATTCAGGTCCTTATGTTTTCACAGCAAACACTTTATCATGGTCAGCTATCTCCTCAGCCTAGTCTGTATCTTAAGGGGGTACCTGGAATGTATAAAATTGGAGCTCATGGAAGTAAGTAGTGGGCAGGAGTAATATATTTGAAGTCCAGTCTTTAGCCTTAAATTCTATTTAGGTCACCAATTTGGCCAAAGCTCTGGCTTCTGATACTACAACACCAGAATGGGTAAATAGGAGCATCTCATAGAGGACTGTCCTCATCAGGGTCACTATTGCTGATGAAACACCATGACCAAAGCAAGTTGGGGAGTAAAGGGCTTATTTGGCTTACACTTTAATATCATAGTCCATCATTGAAGGAAGTCAGGACGGGAACTCAAACAAGGGCAGGGACCTGGGGGCAGGAGCTGATGCAGAGGCCATGAAGGGTGCTGCTTACTGGCTTGCTCCCCATGACTTGCTCAGCCTGCTCTCTTATAGAACCCAGGACCACCTGCCCAGGGATGGCACCACTGACAGTGGGCTGGGCCCTCCCCCATCAATTATTAATTAAGAAAATGTCCCACAGCCAGATCTTATGGAGGCATTTTCTCAGTTGAGGTTCCCTCCTTCCAGATGACTCTAGCCTGTGTCAAGTTAACATATTTTGTTGTTCTATGGCCCTAGCTTTCTCTTTTCATCATATTTGCCATTGTAACTGAGGACCAGCTTCCAATATTGCTGTTGCCAAATCTTTCCAGTCTTGTGGGGTAATTCTGTTCTGAGTTGCCCATGAATTTAATATCTGCTCCACATAGGGTGAATGAATACCATAAAAAAATGACTGCTTCCTTAAATCTCCTCAAAGCTAATATTTCTATAGGATTCCATTTAACTTCTTCATAACCTTGGGGGTGCCTATTGTCTGCTGGTCATTCTTATCTAGTAACTAGATAAACTAAGGTTGGTTTTTCTAACAACTTTGGGCCACCCCTCTTCAGTTTTATCATGCAGTGACGCAGTAGGTTCTTGTCTAAATTCCTCTGTGTCTGAGTATTTTTCTTATTATCATTTATATGTCTTTCTAAGGCTTGTATCTTGTTAATCCACTTTTCATGTTTGACACAAAAAAACCACTATGGCTATTAAAGATAAAATATGAATTACCAGACTAGTATTAATTATAATTGGTATTCTGTCGATCTCAGCTAAGTTGTTTATCTTTTCATTTTCTGCTTCTATTTTTTTTTTTTTTTTGGCTTTTCGAGACAGGGTTTCTCTGTGTAGCTTTGCGCCTTTCCTGGAACTTGCTTTGGAGACCAGGCTGGCCTGAACTCACAGAGATCCGCCTGGCTCTGCCTCCCTGAGTGCTGGGATTAAAGGCGTGCGCCACCACCGCCCGGCTTCTGCTTCTATTTTTAAGCCATCTTAAAAGTAGCACTATACAGGGTCCTAATTATGATATTTCTCATCCTTAACATGGGAAAGATTTTTCCTTTTAATATTACTTGGCTCTCTCCTTGAGGACTTCCCAGGTGTCTTACCAAATCGGATGGTTTCTCAGTTTGTCCACAGCTGGCATGATTTCTCTGTCTGTGCCACGAGATGGAGCGCCAAATGTATTTAACAAAATCTCAATCATTTGATTTTACCAATAAAGTCTCAGGAGCCAGATGCTGGGGTGAAAGCCTGCTAGTTCAGAGGCAGAGAAAGCACTCAGCTGACCTTCCTCCTCCTCTAATGTCCCAGAAGCCTTCTCCTTCTACCTCTTCAATCACCCTCCTCAAACTGAATGGCCCTCCCTTCTCCTTCCTGTGCGTCTCTCTGTCCGTCCTCCTGACTCCCTCTCACTCTCTATGGCTTTTTCTTCATAATCCTGTGCTCACTTCCTGCCAATGGGTTGCTTGCTCCACCTCTTGACCTATGGTTGATTTTATTTAATCCTGTTTACAATATACAAGCAGAAAGCTCTTGGATTAAAGGTGTGTGCTAGGGCTGAGCCACACCACAACTAGAAACAGGTTTTTCCAGTAAATAACACAATCTTGGGGTTCACAGTGTGATCAAGGATCCTGCAGCATCTCTATGAGGCATGGCAGGCATTGTAAATATAATGCAGATCAAATATACACTCAAATTCTCCAGCAGTTCCCTATAAAATAGTTCTCAATGTTGGTAGCATCCTCAATTAGCTGGCCTTGACCTTGTTTTCAAGGTCTGCTTCCTAGTGCCTACTTTACTCTTCATTGTGTCCAGGTCCTTGGAATTTACTTAATATGGATCTCAGTCTCCATTCCTTTTTCAGTGCTAATTCCCTTCTTGTTTACCTGATCTACTTCAATCAGCCTTTCACACTTGGTTCTGGAGACATTTCCTGTGGGAATATCTTAAGTCTCCCTCTTGTTTTCCAAACCTTATAGTATCAGGTATTTACTCCTTTGAGGTTAACAGCCCATATTTAATTTAATCATATACTATATTACAAATTTTGTATGACTACTTATCTTCCTCATTAGAGAGTCACCTACTCTATAGTTGTGATGGCTATTCTTGGTTGTCAACTTGATTATATCTGGAATGAACTCCAATCCAGAAATGGAGGGCACACTTGTGATCTGGATCTTGAAGCTGGAAGACACAGGCCTTTAACCCAGATCTTGAGGTGGGAAGATACAGGCCTTTAATCCAGATCTTGGGGTGGGAAGACTCAGGTCTTTAATCCAGATCTTGAGATGGGAAGACACACCTTTAATCCAGGTCTTGGGGGACACACCTTTAATCCAGATCTTGAGATGGGAAGACACACCTTTAATCCAGGTCTTGGGGTGGGAAGACACACCTTTAATCCAGATCTTGAGATGGGAACACATACCTTTAATCTGGGCCACACCTTCTGCTGGAAGCCTGTGTAAGCACATCCATTCCTTCACTGGCATTGGAGTCTACTTCAGGATTCCAGCATACACAGAAGGGCAGCTGGGACACCCAGCCTCTTGGGACTGAGCTGCTACTTGGATTTCCATTCACAGCTAGTCATTGTTGGATTGGTTGTTGCAGCCTGCTAGTCATTCCAATAAATTCCCTTTATATATGTATACACAGAGAGATTCATTCTGTAAGTTCTGTGACTCTAGAGAACACCGACTAATACAGTAGTAGAGGTCTTCTGTCCATCTTTGTACCCTTAGTCACCAACATAAAGCACAGACACACGATTAGTTGGTGCTTAATTAATGCTGGCTAATGAATTAGGTTATTTGGTTGAAGAAACTATTATCTTTTTTGTTTGTTTGTTTGTTTATTTTCAAGACAGGGTATCTCTGTGTAGTTTTGGTGCCTGTCCTGGATCTCGCTCTGTAGACCAGACTGGCCTCGAACTCACAGAGATCTGCCTGACTCTGCCTCCCGAGTGCTGGGATTAAAGGTGTGCGCCACCACTGCCGCTTGGTTGAAACTATGTATCTTAAGAAGAAGATGAAATAACAAAGTGAAGCTGAATGGCTACTGTCCCCGCTGTGTTGTGTATATTTAACTATGGCAATAGTTGATAATGAAAGATACATCTCTAAGCCTGCGAGGAAAGGGAATGACTAGGAAGTGTCTAGGAAAGGCAGGGCCCTCGGTCCCACTGCATTAAATTCTCCTTACTTGTTTCTTTGGTTGCGTTTCTCTTTTTAGACCGAAGAGACTGTTGGTATCCTAATAGATACAAGTTGAAGAAAGCCATCTCAGTGCCCCCTTCTCTTCAGAATGTCTACTCAGGAGCACTGGGTTCTAGTAACCATGGTAATGTCCTGAAGAATTACCATGACTGACACTTCCTTTGTCCAGTGAGGCACAGGATTTATAGGTCATCATGGAGTTGGCATTGAGTGGGCTAAATAATTTCAAGAAACTTGAGAAATCAAGTATCATTACCTTTTCAAAAGGGTATTTGTGTGGTGGTGGTGGCTCATGCTTTTAATCCCAGCACTCAGTAGGCAGAAGCAGATGGATCTCTGTGAGTTCGAGGCCAACCTGGTGTACAGATCAAGTTCCAGGACAGTCAGAACTGTTACACAGAGAAACCTCGTCCTGAAAAACAACAATGACAACCAAAACAGTACTTTTTTATTCTTTGAAAATGTCATACATTTGTACAATGGACTTTGATCATAAACATCCTCTGCTGCTTCCCTTCAATGCCCCCAACGGCCTCCATCTTGTCTCCTTCACATCTAACTTCACTATGTAGCCCTGGCTGTCCTGGGACTCACTCTGTAGACCAGGCTGGCCTCAAACTCACAGAGATCTGCCTGTTTTGGCCTCCCGAGTGCTAGGATTAAAGGTGAGTGCCAAGATGCCTTGCCTGCTTATCAAGTTACTTTAAATTCCTAATCTGAAATTCCAAAATTCCACCATGAGTACCTGGTTCAGATGCTTCCAGATTTTGCTTTTCTTGTTGTTTTTCAAGCTTGAACAGAACATAGTATGTGAGGCTCAGGTTTTACCTTTGGAGGGCTAGGCTTCAGAGATTTCACGGTTTGCTGTCAGATTCGGGCGCTGGGGGCCAGCACCTCTCCGGAGGTCCTTGCCTTTGGTCTCCCCTGCTGTCTCCGGTTTTCCTCACTTTCTTCAGGTTTATCGTACTGCAAAAAGAGCTGTGTGTACGAGCAACAAGACGGTCTTGATCCTCCTTCCACAGGGTCTGAGTCTTGCAATTCTTTCAGTTGCAATCCTGTTAATATACTGGAATTTTATGATATGTCCATAAGATTGGAGGGCATGGGAGAAGCAGTGTGTAATTTTATTATTAGGTTGCTGCCCAGTCTTGTGTATGTAGTATGTGTGTGCACCTGCATGTGAAGGCCAGAGGTTGACATTACTCTCTTTCTCTATTGTTCTCCTATCTATATCTATCTATCTATCTATCTATCTATCTATCTATCTATCTATCTCTCCATCCATCTATTTATTTTTGTGGGTTTTTTTTTTTTTTTTTTGAGACAGGGTTTCTCTGTGTATCCTTGACTGTCCTGGAACTCATTCTGCAAACCAGTCTGGCCTCAAACTCAGAGATCCACCTGCCTTTACCCCCTGAGTTCTCTCTCTTCCCAGTTCTGGAATTACTGGTGTGGTGCCCAGTTTTTCGTCAACTCCTCAGCTAAAAGGGGAAGATCTTGTCTCCACGAATCCTCAGACTGAATGCCCCTGAAAAAATAAGTTTTTCTGACCTGGGTTCTCATCCTTATGCACAAGGACAACACCGACTGGCCATCTCTCCAGCTGGACTTCACAGTCTTCTAATGAGCTTGTTCCTCACTGGGCAGTGACCTGAAGTGTTTACTATTTCTGCCACTTTACATAGTAGAGCAAGGGTAGAGAAGACTGAAGTTGGCCAGTTCCTTTCTCTCATGGTTAGGCTTTGGTAAAAGTCAAGTTTTGTTTAATACGTTTCATGTGAGGGTCAGTGGGATGGCTCAGAGGGCAAAGGTGCTCGCCACTAAGCCTGACAACTTTGTGTTCAATCTTTGGATCCCATGGCAGAAAGAACACCTTGAAGTTGCCCTCCAACCTCTAGCCTTACACTGTGACATGTGCAAGTCTGCATATACAAGCACATGTACACACACTAAATTTTTTTTTTTTGGGGGGGTGTTTTTCAAGACAAGTTTTCTCTGTGTAACAGCCCTGGCTGTCCTGGAACTCACTCTGTAGACCAGGCTAGCCTTTAACTCAGAAATCAGCCTCCCTCTGCCTCCTAATGCTGGGATTAAAGGTGTGCACCTCCACCACCCGGAATTTGCTATGTAGACCAGGCTGGCTTTGAACTCAAAGATCTTCCTGCCTCTGCCTCCTGAGTGTTGGGATTAAAGGAGTGCACCACTACACCCTGCCCTACATCTCTAATATTTTATAGACATAATGAGCTTGATAGGTATGTGTTGCACGAATCCTAATTGGTCTTAATAATAGAAACCGGGAGCCAGATATTGGGATAAACGCTGAAAGATCAGAGGAAACAAGCCACAGCCACTTCTCACCTCACCAATTCCTCAGCCAAAGGGAAGTTCTTGTCTCCATGAATCCTCAAACTGAATGCCCCTGAGTCCTCAGCTGAAAGGACCGAGTTTCTGTCTCCTCCTGCCTTACATGCCTTTCTCTGCCCAGCCATATCATTTCCTGTCTCAACCTTCCTAGTGCTGGGATTAATGGTGTGTGTGCTTCCCAAATACTGGGAGGAAAGGCATGAGATCACAAGTACTGGGATTAAGGGTGTGTGCCACCACTGCCTGATTTTGTTTCTCTTTTAAACTGGATTAATCTCGTGTAGTCCAGGGTGGCTTTGAACTCACAGAGATCCAGACAGATCTCTGCCTCCCGAGTGCTAGCTAGGATTAAAGGTGTGTGCCACCATTGCCTGGCCTCTATGTTTAATGTAGTGGCTGGCTCTGTCCTCTGATCTTTAGACAAATCTTATTTGTTAAAGTGCAAACAAAATATCACCACAGGCATGGAAGAACAGGTGCAAAGCTGAGCCCAGAAGTTCATAAGTTCAGTGCCTGCCTGAGCTATAAAGTAAGTTCAACACCAATTTAGCCAATTTAAAATAACAAGTCACCGGGCGGTGGCGCATGCCTTTAATCCCATCACTCGGGAGGCAGAGGCAGGCGGATCTCTGTGAGTTCTAGGCCAGCCTGGTCTACAGATCGAGATCCAGGAAAGGTGCAAAGCTACACAGAGAAACCCTGTCTCGGAAAAAAAAAAGTCACAACAGGGCTGGATACAGCTAGGTGGTAGTGTACTTGCCCAGCATAAGCAGAAGGATCTAAATTCAATCTCCATTGGAGTTGGAGGGAGAAGCGCAGGGATCGCAGACTGAGAGGGGTTAATTATCTTGCTTAGGCTGAAAAGCTATGAGAGCTGGAGCTGGGCTCCAATTTAATAGAGGCCTGACCTTAGAAATTTTCCACATGGTGGTGGTGGAACTTTCCACACTGTAGAGGCGGTTTTAGTTCATCGGTTAGCATATCCTAGGATACTTTGTTACTTCTAAACTATTTACTGTTTCTGCACGTGCCTCAGAGCATTTGGGGCAGTCAGAGGACAACTTATCAGAGTCAGTCCTCTCCTTTCATCTACCATGGGGGTGCCAGGGATGGAATTCAGGTTGTCAGCAGCCTCTTCTACCTGCTGAGCCAGGGGCCGCTCATTCACATACATACACATAAATACATACATACACACAAGTCCCAGAGGACTTCTCGGGCAAATAGCAGAGCCCCAAATCTTGGAGATAGGCTGCCAATGCCTGCGCCAGAGGTGTACGGTGGACTTTGGTAAACAAAGAGTGGGGGCCAGTCATAGATCTGTGATTTGAGGTAGTGTGAACATCAGAACTGAGTTGAACACAGCGGCAGAAGCCTGGGAACAGGGACACCCAGTAGTGGACAGGAGGGTGAGGCAGACAGCAGCCCCACACGGTGGACCTAGGAGTGGGTCCAGCGCACAAATGATCTCTTGTTCTCCTTTGCTTGATAATCTTTCCCTGAGGTTTGGGTTTCCTAGAACTATTGATCTGGCCGCCACTGGCGCCTGGCCCACCCTTGGGACCTAACTGAACGTTTGGAAACTGCACCAGCAAGCATATCGCTTTCTGTGACCAAAGGAAAGCCAGAGAAAAGGCCTCCCCACCGGAGTGAAACTCTATTTATAAAGTCAGCGTTCTAGAGCCTGACGCGGTGTCGCACACCGTTAATCCTGGCACTCGGGCGAACACCGCTGGGTTTGTGAGTTCCAGGCCTGCCAAGGCTACACATAGGCTCGGCTTAAAAAGCAAAAACAGCCGGGCGGTGGTGGCGCACGCCTTTAATCCCAGCACTCGGGAGGCAGAGGCAGGCGGATCTCTGTGAGTTCGAGGCCAGCCTGGGCTACCAAGTGATTTCCAGGAGAGGCGCAAAGCTACACAGAGAAACCCTGTCTCGAAAAACAAAAAACAAAAAACAACAAAAAAAAAAAAGCAAAAACAAAAAAGGAAAAAAAAAAGGAGAGAGAGAAAGAGAGAGAGAGAGAGAGAGAGAGAGAGAGAGAGAGCGAGCGCCCCATCCCCAAATATAAAACCCCAAACACATCGTGTTCCTGGGACAACGGAAGCATGAAATTAGCAACATGAATTCTATTCCTTCGGGTTGGTTAGGGCTGCTACACACACACGCACACGCACACGCACACGCACACACACACACACACACACACACACACACACACACACACACACACGGCGCTGCTTTTCCAGCGGGCTGCGGTTCTTGGCACTGCGGCCAGGCACTTCGGGAGCCTTTTAGCGGCTTGAACGTCTCGGCATACGTCGGGGCCATTCGCTGTCTTGTCTTTTCTGGGTTTCCTGAGCGGCTCACGTTTTCCCGGCCAGGGGGCCATAAAGCCCAGTCTGGGCGGGTGGGTTTTCGAGACAGGGTTTCTCTGTGTAGCCCTGGCTGTCCTGGATCTCGCTCTGTAGCCCAGGCTGGCCTCGAACTCACAGAGATCCGCCTGCCTCTGCCTCCCGAGTGCTGGGATTAAAGGTGTGCGCCACCACGCCCGGTTCTACAACGTTCTCGGAAAAGACTCAGGCAGCGAAGCCGGGGCCGCCCGCAAGGCGACCTCAGCCCAGTTATCGCGGGGAAAGGCGAGACTTCGTTTCTCTTTAAGAACCACTTCCACCTGCGCCCTGCCGGGTCACACGACTCGCGCCTGCGCCCTGGGCCGGGACTGCGGTCCTCGTCGGCGGACTGGCTGTCGATTCCGCCTACGGGGCGTCGCAGGGTCCATTCCGGAAGTAGTCGCGGGACGCTCCTGCTTCCTGGGGCGGAAGTGTGTCACAAGCTGGTATTCGGCGGCTCCGGGAGGAAGTTCGTCACGTCGCAGTTGTCTCGGCACAGCGGATGTGTGTCGCCGCTTAGGTGACGCTGGGAAGTGCTTGCAGCCCCCGCCGCTGCCTCTTGGTTGGAGCACTATGGAGGGAGAGAGGAAGAACAACAACAAACGGTGGTATTTCACTCGGGAGCAGCTGGAAAACAGCCCCTCGCGTCGCTTCGGCGTGGACTCCGATAAAGAACTCTCTTACCGCCAGCAGGCGGCCAACCTCCTCCAGGACATGGGACAACGTCTTAACGTGTATCCTTGCGGCCTAGGCCTCTCGGCCTTGGAGCCCGTCCGGCCACGCTTCGGCGTCGGGCCGGGCACGCCGGCGGGGACACGAGTGGGTAAGGTGGTGGCGGGAGCTGGACGCCTGGTGGGGGAGAGCCCACAATGGCGCTGGCGGAGCCACTGTTCGCGCGAGGGAAGTGAGGCGGAGTCAATTTCCCGCTCGCTCACCGGTGCCACCAGCCCGGCTGGGGATTCGGACCTCTCCCGTCTTTGTGTGGTCGCCGCTCCTCTCCCGGCCCCTCTTCTCTGAATTCTGACCTGTTTTCTAGTGGTTTTTTTTTTTTTTTTTTTTTTTTTTTTTTTTTTATTTGAGAGGCTCCGTTTAAAGAGGTTTCGCTGAGGACGCTGCCAGTGTGTGAAAAGGGTTTCGGGAAATTCTGTCCCCGACGGGCTTACGGAGGTGGGCTAGAATTGGCGCCCCAGCTTTGCTTCCAAACCCATTTCTCCCACTTACTAGCTGTTTATGACCTGTCAAATTCTTGGTTTTTTTTTTCTGTTGTCCATCTCAACGCTTGAGATTCAGATGTGTTCTAGTAGCTGTTTCGTAGAATTTAAGAGGAAGGGAAGATGTCACCTTAGGTTTGTAGGGAGATGTAAGTATGGATATAATGTTTTAAGTAGTTTGCAGAGTTTTAAGTCCTTGTTTCTCAGGGCACTAGAGGTTATTTATTCCTTTTCAAATTACAGAGGTAAGATAATTTAGTGATTCCCCCCCCCCCTTTTTTTTCCCTTCAGAAAATGAAGTTATTTGTGGCAAAACTAATAGTTTTAAAACTCTATTTTCCATATAACTTTCTTTTAGGTGCAGCTTCAGCTTATGTAGCATTTACTTAAGAGTGATGCTGAGGGCTGGGTGTGGTGTCTTATGCCTTTGATCCCACCATTGGGGAGGTAGAGGCAGGCCAAAGCTACAAAGTGAGATCCTGTCTCCCAAAAAAAAAAGTTCTGACTATAATGTAAGGCCTTCCAAATAGGTGTTCCCTTTATTGGCCAGTTCGCTATTGAAATCCAGTTTGTTTCCCAAGCATTCAGGCAGTGCACAATTAAACGTTCCTATATATGTTTAAGGCACCTTTTTAAAGTGTGCTCAAGCTTGTTGCCAGCATATTGTTATCTCTATACAGGCTGTTGCTGAGGTCTGTAGGAATGAGGTATTCTTAACCATACGAATGAAAGACTCTGGATTAGAGGGAGGGAGGAAGGAGTTTATTTTCAGTGGATTACCATCAAATCATTTCAAATGTTTTGTAGTTCAGGAGTCATGTGATATTTCCAGAAAGAAGTAGAACTAAACCGGGCATGGTGGTGCACGCCTTTAATCCCAGAGCTCAGGAGGTGGACGAAGGCTGATTTCTGAGTTCGATGCCAGCCTGGTCTACAGAGTGAGTTTTAGGACAGACAGGCTACACAGAGAAACCCTGTCTCAGAACACCCCCATACCCACCCATCCACCGCCTCCCAAAGAAAAGGAAGAAAGAAAAAAGTAGAACAGAAAAACTGATCTCTGGAGTTTAAGTTATCCTTGGGCAAGCAAGATGGCCCAGCAGGTCAAGGCACGTGCTGCCAAACCCGATGCCCTGCGTTCTATCTCTATGACCCATAGGGTGGACAGATAACTGACTCCTGCAGGTTGCACTCTGACCCCCACACTCATGCTGTGGCATGCTGATCACCCCTTCAAAAGTAAACGTAATTAGAAAAGAGTTATCCTTGGCTAATGAGTCACCTTTGCAGAGGGCAGTGGCATGACGGGAAAGTGTGAGACCCTGTGTGGTTTTGTTTACGTTGTCTGTTGATTTGCACCGTGCTGCTCGCTTTGTTTATTCAGTCATTAAGTTCCTATAAGAACTTGGCTAGGTAGAAGACATACTGACAATTGGCAGTTAATAATTTAGTTAGTGAAGGAAAACACATCTGCTCTTTGATTTGAAGAGGTAGCTTGTGTAGGATGGTCCACTGTGCTTTATTCCCTTGGGAAGGATGATTGCACCTTAACTTGAACCTCAGCTCACAACTGACGATCAACACTGCTATAGTGTACATGCACCGCTTCTACATGATCCAGTCTTTTACACAGTTCCATCGATATGTAAGTAGAATTTTGTGTGGTGTAATCCTTTGGGGTTTGATTCTAGCTGCCTATTTTATGATTGGTTGTTGTTATTGGACTAGGGTTTTATTTTAGAATTTAGGGCTGGTCATTTTGAGATTAAAAAAATCATGATTTAAGCTGGGTGATGGTGGCACACGCCTTTAATCCCAGCACTCGGTAGGCAGAGGCAGGTGGATCTTTGTGAGTTCAAGTCCAGCCTGGTCTACAAAGCGATTTCCAGGAAAGGCACAAAACTACACAGAGAAACCCTGTCTCCGAAAAACCAAAAAAAAAAAAAAAAAAAAAAAAAAAAAAAAAAAAAAAAAAAAATCATGACTTAAGTATAATTTTCCAAGTGGTAAATTTATGGCCATAAGAAGACAAATGTAAGTTAGATTTTGCAAAATCTTTGATAAAATTCAGTGGTTAGCTGGAGGGAAAGATGTATTATGTGGTAATGCCTGGGGCGATGACTTTTAGGAATGGGGAAGAATAGGAATAAAAGGATATTTTTTTCTTGGACAAAGTTATAAATATAGTGCTATTTTCAGTTTTGTTAACTGAAATGGTCTATTTAGCATTTTGTTTAATTAAAATCCCAAGGTAAAGCTGGGGCGGTGGTGGCGCATGCCTTTAATCCCAGCACTCAGGAGGCAGAGGCAGGCGGATCTCTGAGTCCAAGGCCAGCCTGGTCTATAGAGTGAGTTCTAGGACAGCCAGGGCTACACAGAGAAACCCTTTCTAAAACAAACAAGCAAACAAACAAAAAACCCAAGGTAATAAAGGTTAACTTGAACAGATTGTGTGGATTAGTGGATCAAATATTCTGTTATTTTTTAAAGTCTTTGAGGATTTATTTTAGGATAATGCATCTAAAAACATAGTTTTAGGGCTGGAGAGATGGCTCAGTGGTTAAGAGCACTGTCTGCTCTTCCAGAGGTTCTGAGTTCAGTTCCCAGCACCCACATGGTGGCTCACAACCATCCATAATTCAATCCAGTGCCTTCTTCTGGCCTGTAAGCATTCATGTAGACAGAATTCACTGTATACATAATAAATAAATATTAAAAAAAAAAGGGGGCGGTGGTGGCACACACCTTTAATCCCAGCACTTGGGAGGCAAAGGCAGACAGATCTCTGTGAGTTCGAGGCCAGCCTGGTCTACAGAGTGAGTTCCAGGAAAGGTGCAAAGCTACAAAGAGAAACCCTGTCTCAAAAAAAACAACAAACAAACAAACAAAAATCCAAAAACATAGTTTTATTTCTGAGTGTTTGTGTGAGTACCCACAGAGGCTAGATGAAGGCCTTGAATTCCCTGGAGCTGGAGTTACAGGCTGCTCTGAGCAACCCTAGATGGGTGCTGGGAGTCAGAGTACTTAACTGAGCCGTCTCAAGCCCAGATAAGACATTTTGAGTTGTTTTGTTTTGATCCTGTAAGAAGAAACTTTGTGAAGCTAAATGTAATTCCTGTAATGTAAGAAATTGGCAAAATCAGACTTAGGATCGTCAGTTAAGGATTGATAATTTTGGGTGATTAGTCAGTCCCTGCCCTTAGTGCCCATACCTTTTTTTCTGTTGTTGTTTTTTCCGAGACAGGGTTTCTCTGTGTAGTTTTGGAGCCTTTCCTGGAACTCGCTCTATAGACCAGGCTGGCCTCGAACTCACGGAGATCTGCCTGCCTCTGCCTCCCGAGTGCTGGATTAAAGGGGTGCCCCACCACCACCCCGCTGCGCCCATACTTCTAATCAGCCTTTATAAAGCTGTTTGATAGCACTGAAACAGAAGTAGTGGATCAGTGAAATTTAAATTGCAAAGCTGTCTTGGTTATTTTGAAGATTTCCTACCTTCAGCTTTCCCTCCCTTTTTTTTCTTCCATTCATTCTTTTTTTTTTTTTTTTTTTTTTTTGAGATTAGGGTGTAACTAAGTGTGTAGTCATGGCGCCTTGAATTTCCAAGCACTGGCATGGGCAACAGGTGCCGAGTCTTCTCGTTTATTGCAATAAAAATTTGAAATTTAGGGTGGAATCTTAAATCAGGTTGTTCAGTCTGCATTTATGGGTTAGCATGTATGTCCTTTTTATTTAAATGACAACGCTTTCTTATTGCCTGTGTGTTAACCTTGGTTAAGACAGACATTTATCTGTTTATTTCCAACGTACCCGAAGTAAGCTGGTAGAATTAACAGATTATCTGATAATTATTTAATTACAGAGACATTCTTTTGGATATCATATCCTTTGTTTTTATTTGTCTCTTGTTTTGAGACAGGGCTTCACTATGTAGCCCCGGCTGGCCTGGAACTCAACAGAGATTCACCTGCCTTTGTCTCCCGAGTGCTGGGATTAAAGACAAATACGACCACAGCTGGTGTTCTGACTTTTATAGTTGATCTTCTTTAGAGTATTGATTTTAGGTATATTTTATAATTAGCATATCCCAAATATTACCCTCTTAATACATTAATTTTATAAGTTGGATTTAACTATGATCAATTAGAATTAGATTTGAGAGGGCTTAAAACATTATGGCATTGATGTTAAGCCTGTCAAGCCAGCCCTTGTGGATTTTTTTTTTCAATTTTATTGTGTGTGCATGATGTGATTGTGTATGAGTGTAGCTCACATTGGTCAGAAGACAAGTTTTGGTTCTCTTTTTCCATCATGGGTTTGGGGAATCAAATTAAGGTTGTCAAGTGTGGATAGTTGCACATTAGGCTGCTGAGCCATCTTGCTAGCTGCTTTGTGAATTTCCATTTATTTATTACAAATATAATAAATTCACATGGTAAAAATTCTAACAATACCACCGAAACATATAAAGTGAAAACTCTGTGCCCTGAAGAGGTAATCATTGATCAATATTTGATATACAGTATCCTATACCTCTTCTGGATTTAAACTAGTATTTATGATTTCTGTTAAAAGATCATGCCTCAGCCGGGCGATGGTGGCGCACGCCTTTAATCCCAGCACTCGGGAGGCAGAGGCAGGAGGATCTCTGTGAGTTCGAGGCCAGCCTGGTCTACAAAGTGAGTTCCAGGAAAGGCGCAAAACTACAGAGAAACCCTGTCTCGAAAAAACAAAACAAACAAACAAAAAAAAAAAAAGATCATGCCTCAGCTGGGCGGTGGTGGCCACGCCTTTAATCCTAGCACTCAGGGAGGCAGAGCCAGGTGGACCTCCGAGTTCGAGGCCAGCCTGGTCTACAGATCGAGATCCGGGACAGGCACCAAAACTACACAGAGAAACTTTGTCTCAAAAAACTACCCCCCCCCAAAAAAAACAGCAACAAAAAATCCTTGGGGCTATGCATATGACCCAGTTCAGTGTGTATTTAGCATGTTAGGTTTTGAGTTGAGTCCATAGCACCAAAAGAAAAAAAAGGCCCATATTTTAATAGCAGCATATTTGGATATATGTTAGTTACCCTTATTTGTTGACTTTTTTTTTTTTTTTTTGAAACAGGGTTTCTCTGTGTAGCTTTGCGCCTTTCCTGGAACTCGCTTTGGAGACCAGGCTGGCCTAGAACTCACAGAGATCCGCCTGCCTCTGCCTCCCGAGTGCTGGGATTAAAGGCGTGCGCCACCACTGCCCGGCTTATTTGTTGACTTGTAAGAAATGAAGTTTAGTGATTGAAAGTATGTTTGCTGGGGTCAGACGTGTCTAGATTTGGAGTCCTGATGATCTGCTTACTAGCTGTATGGCTTTGTGCAATTTATATTCTAAACTAGTATAAAAACGCCTCCTAAGAGTTAGGTACATGTGCCTGCAAGCCTAGGTATGAGGCTCAGTTCTCAATTTGAGGTTAGCATTGGACAATGTAGTTAGATCTTGTCTTTAATTAAAAAAAAAAAAGATTCTGGCCTAATAAGGTGGCTTATAAGGGTAAGGTGCTTGCTGTCAAGCCTGGCAACCTGAGTTCAATTCCTGGAATTTACAAGGGAGGACAGAGTCTGTTGGGATCAAACCTAGGGCTTTGCACAAACAGACGTCACTCCGATAGTTGGGCTATACTCCTAGTGCCCTTTTATTTTTTTTAATCCGTTCATCTCTTGATGAACATCTAGACTAGTTCCATTTTAGCTTTTTAAGAAGCGTGGAAGGATAAGGAAGGTTGTGCAAGTATTTTTGGCATGCCAGACTTTAGTGTAGAAAATTGTAACTTAGGAGGCAGTAGGGTTCCAAGTAAGTATTACAATGTTTCAGTTGCTGTGTGATCTTGTATGGTTAGTCTCTTGAGATCTTTAGCTACTAGTGTATTGGCTTGTATAATTGTTCCTCCCCTACATATTTTCTATCTTGTGAGTTTAATACTTTGTAGTTTTTTTTTTTTTTTTTTTTTTTTTTTTGCTTTTCAAGGCAGCGTTTTTCTGTATAGCCTTGGCTGTTCTGCAATTTGCTCAGACCAGACTGGCCTTGAACTTAAGAGATGTGCCTGCCTCTTCCTCCCAAATGCTGGGATTAAAAGCATGGGCCACGGCCGGGCGGTGGTGGCGCACGCCTTTAATCCCAGCACTCGGGAGGCAGAGCCAGGCGGATCTCTGTGAGTTCGAGGCCAGCCTGGACTACCAAGTGAGTTCCAGGAAAGGCGCAAAGCTACACAGAGAAACCCTGTCTCGAAAAACCAAAAAAAAAAAAAAAAAAAAAAAAAAAAAAGCATGGGCCACAACCACCTGGGTTTTTTTTTTTGTATGTTTGTTTGTTTGTTTTTAGACAGTCTTGTGTAGCCCAGGCTGACTTTGAACTCAGATATACCTGCTTCTGCCTCCTGAGTGCTGGGATTTCAGGAGTGGGCTACCACACTCAACAAAAACATTTTTATTTAGTGTGTGGATTGAATATATTTGTGTGCTTGCCTGTGTGTAGGGGGCAGAGACTAAAAGTTGACATCAAGTCTTTGATCGCTCTCTATTTTTTGAAATAAGGTCTCTCACTGAACCTGGAGCATGTCATTTCTGCTAAACTGGGTGGCCACTGAGCCCCTAGGATCCACCTAGCTGTACCCCTCAGCCCTGGTATTGTAGATGTGCTGTATGTTCCCTTCCCGTGCTCACAAACTGAGGCAACCATTACCAGTGTTTGATTTCAGAACACTTGTATCAGTGCTTTGTCACTGCAGTCACTCCCAATCTACCTCTCAGCCTCTGGCACTAACCTACTTTATCTGGATTTCCTTATTCTAAGGATTTTAATTTACCATTAAAAAAAAAAGAAGAAGAACCTTGGCATAGTGGCTCAGACCTATAATCCCAACATCCAAGAGGCTGAATGAGGCAAAAGGTTCACCAGTTAGAGGCTATCTTGGGCTATATAAATAGTTCCAAACCATCCTGGACTACATAGTGAGATTCCTACCAAAAAAACTAAGGCAAAGCTGGGCGGTGGTGGCGCACGCCTTTAATCCCAGCACTTGAGAGGCAGAGCCAGGTGGATCTCTGTGAGTTTGAAGTCAGCCTGGTCTACAGAGTGAGATCCAGGACAGGTACCAAAACAGAAACCCTGTCTCAGAAAAAACACCCCCCCCCAAAAAAAAAAAAAAAAAAAAACAACCCAAAAAATTAAGGCAAGCAAACTTAAAATGATGTGATTTTTTTCAGTGGAAAACAGCTTATGTCTGCAGTCTCCTCACAGATCCTTAGTGTTTCCTGAGGGACTGCTGTCTGTGATTTGAAAGTCCAGGGCAAGTGTAGATAAGAGACTTGATTGTTTGTGATTTAGCTCTTCTTGGATTATCACTTCGAAATCAATAACATGTGTGACTTTTTTTTTCTTCTATGAATGAAGTCTATGGCTCCAGCAGCCTTGTTTCTAGCAGCGAAAGTGGAAGAACAGCCAAAAAAACTGGAACATGTCATCAAGGTAGCTCATACTTGCCTCCATCCCCAGGAGTCACTTCCTGACACAAGGAGTGAGGTAGGTCCTTAATTACACTTGTAAAAAGTTATAACTTCATTTTGTAGCTTTGAATCTGGAACTTTTCAGTGTTTAATCTCTAAAATAAAGATTGTCATAAAATTAAAAGCTTCGTAACAGCAAAGAAGAATCATGTCATCTGTATAGGTTTCTTTTCATCCCACCCTCCAGATTGAAATATTTTTCTTATTTTCTGTTTAAGAATGTTCAGTGCTTGGTGTGGTGGCACACGCCTTTAATGCCAGCACTCCTAAAACAGAGGTGGCTGGATCTGAGTTCAAGGCCAGCTTGGTCTACAAAGCTAGTTCTAGGACAGCCAGGACTACATAGAAAAACCCTGTCTTGAAAAACAAACAAACAAAAAAACAAAAAAAAAATGTCCATGTGGTAGGTCATCATATACCTATATATATTTATATCTGTAATTATTCTGTCAAGAAGCATGACACAATTTCAGCTTTTGTTTTTCAAGACAGGGTTTCTCTGAGTAGCCCTGGATATACTGAAACTTATATCTAGACCAGACAGGCCTCAAACTCACAGATATCCACCTGCCTCTGCCTCCTGAGTGCTGGCATTAAATGCGTATGCCACCACCGCCTGGCTTAATTACAGCTTTTATTGATGTTATAAGTGTTCTTTGTGGTGGTGGGTTTTTGTTTTTTGTGTTTCTTTGTTTTTTTTTTTGTTTGTTTGTTTTGTTTTTTTGAGATAGGGATCAGGGTTTCTCTCTAACTCTGGCTGTCCTAGAACTTGCTCTGTAGCCCGGGCTGGCCTCAATGTTAGAGATCTGCCTGTCTCTGCCTTCTGGGATCAAAGGTGTGTGTACACACACACACACACACACACACACACACACACACACACACACACACTAGCTTCTTGATGTTATAAGCATTCTTTTTTTTTTTTTTTTTGGTTTTTCGAGACAGGGTTTCTCTGTGTAGCTTTGCGCCTTTCCTGGAACTTGCTTTGGAGACCAAGCTGGCCTCGAACTCACAGAGATCCGCCTGGCTCTGCCTCCCGAGTGCTGGGATTAAAGGCGTGCGCCACCACTGCCCGGCCGTTATAAGCATTCTTAAAGGTAAAGTTTTGTTGTGGAAATTTTTTTAAGTATATGGAAAGGTTCACTGCCTGACTTAAATCAGTCTCAAAATGAACCACATGCCTAGAGATAAAATTTATGCCTGTTTATTATTACATTTGATTTTAGGCAAAAGGCCGAGAAGCATTATAGTCATTAAAGAGTTCAAACATTGGTTTATTTTTTCAAGATAGGGTTTTCTCTGTGTAGCCCTGGCCAGCCTGGGACTTGCTGTGTAGCCCAGGCTGGCCTCCAACTCTGAGGCCATAGATGTTTCATAGATGCACTGTTGGATCTTTATCATATGCATATATGTGCGCGTGCACATTTCTTTTGTTTTTTTTTTCCCCATGCTTCCTTGACTTTCATGTGTGTGCTTATGTTAGTGATGTTAGGCATTGAATCTGGACCTCAGAAAATGCTAGGCAAACATTCTGTTTCTTTTTGGTTTTTCGAGACAGGGTTTCTCTGTATAGCTTTGCTCCTTTCCTGGATCTCGCTCTATAGACCAGGCTGACCTTGAACTCACAAAGATCTGCCTGCCTCTGCCTCTGAGTGCTGGGATTAAAGGCGTGCGCCACCACTGCCCAGGCGCAAACATTCTATTTTAAAGCCACACCCCGAAGCTGGATGTGCTTGTACACGCCTTCAATCTATCACTTGCAAGACAGAGGCAGGTAGATGTGTGAGACCAACCTGGTCTACATAGTGAGAACCTGTCTCTTAAAAAAGAAAGAAAAAAAGCCACACTCCCTATTCCTAGGCTCCCCCCAACCCCCCAAGATGGTTTCTCCGTGGCTCTGGTTATCCTAGAACTCACTGTGTAGACCAGGCTGGCCTCACACTCTGTTCTGAGTGCTGGGAATAAGGTGTGCACCACCACTGTCTGATGTCCTTGGCTTTCTTAAAGAAGGGTGACTCTCCTGGTTTTATCCATTTATTGTATTTAATTAAATACATCTGTGTGTGTCTGTGCATGTGTGGGTATCCATAGAGGTCAGAGGTCTTGGATCGTCCTGAAGCTGGAGGTATATATAGGTGGTAGTAAGCTGACCAATGTGAGCTCTGGGAATTGAATCCTGACCTCTGCAAGAGCACTATTTGCTCTAAACTACTGAGCCATCTCTCCAGCTCTTCTGCTTTCAGAAGTCAATGATTGGAGATGTTCAGAATTCTAACATTTATAATTGAGATACAATTAGGGATTTCTGTTACTAGGTCATTTAAGTCTTTTATGGGTTTATTAATTATGCTTTATGAAAAATATCTATGGAATTAATATATATATTTTTCCTGTTTTTGAAATTTTCTGTATCATTCCAATTTTAATATATGTTGTATTGAAGTGAGCTTTGGTAGCCACTTTTTTCCACTATGATGCAACCTCTGAGAAAGCAACCTAAGGGAAGGAGGGATTCCTTTTGGTTCACCTTTCAAAGGTTTCAGCCTGTGGTTACTTAGCTGTATTACTTTGGGCTCAGGTTCTGAGGCAGAGCATCCTGGCCAGGAAGAAGCAAGTGGCAGAGCACAGAGCTCATCTGGCAGGTAGTGCCAGAGCAATAGTAGAGACAGACACGATGCTGTCTTTCAGGGCTGTGCTTCTGCGCCCACCTTGTGTCTCCCAGCTCCCGTAATGCTATCAGATTAGGACTGTATCACCGGATTAGTCCACTGTTGAGGTCAGAGCCTTCGGATCCAATTACTTCCTAAGAGCTGACAGACCTTACAATTCATTTATATTAGTGTGTGGTGTGTCTGTATGCCTGTATGCATGTGTGCCAGCCGGCCACAGACTGGAGGCCAGAATACAACTCTGTGGCCTAGGTTTCCTCTTTCTACCTTTACTTGGATTCCTGAGAGTGGACTCGGGTTGCCAGCCTTGCTTGACAACATCTTTTGCTGAACCATTTCTCCAGCCTAGCACCTAGACCCTTTAACACATCAGACTATGGGAGGCATTTCATATGCACACCGTAACACTTTTTTTCCCTCTCCAAAGCATATTCACATAATTCCTTGCCTGAGTATTCAACCCATCTGAGGTGGTAATAGGAAGATGTTTTCTCCAGCATACGGAAAAGACGGCTAGCTAGCATAGTTTATATCCTTACTTGCTTTGCTAATATAAAGTTTAGGGTGAAGTTGACCAGGCTGTGGTGGCGCATGCCTTTAATCCCAGCACTGGGGAGGCAGAGCCAGTCGGATCTCTGTGAGTTCAAGGCCAGCCTGGTCTACAGAGTGAGATCCAGGACAGGCACCAAAATTACACAGAGAAACCTTGTCTTGAAAAACAAAAAACAACAACAACAAAAAAATTTAGTGTGAAGTTAACTACAATATAGGTCTTTTTGTTAAACCATAAGTATAAAGCTCCATGACAATAAGTACAATCAGTTAGATTCTTACAGTGCTATTAAAGGATCTGCAAGTAATAATGTAATGATTTTTAAAAAGGTGTGTTAATTTCTCATCTCTAAATCATTTGATTTTAAGATTTAAAATAGCAGTCTGAAAAGAAATAAAATTGTGCTTTTTGGTAGCTCTGTACTACTAGTAAAGTGTTGTCTTTTGATGTTCCCAGCTCTTCCTTCTTGTACTAAATGAGATAGGGATAAAGATTGTATTCCAGTTCCAACTCTACCTCTTCTCTCTCATACCACCCCTCTTAAGATTGAAAATTTTTATGAGTATGACTGCTTGCCTACATGTATATATATGTGTGTGTGTGTGTGTATACATATATATATATATATGTATATGTATATAATTTTTTTTTAAAGGAAAAACATTTAATTGGGATTGTCTTACAGTTTCAGAGGCTTAGTTCATTATCATCATTGTGGGAAGCAAGGTAGCATGCAGGCAGACATGGCATTGTAGATGGAGCTGAGAGTCCTACATCTTGAACCTAGCAGGCAACAGGAAGTGGTCTGTCTTACTGGGCGTGGCTTGAGAGTAGTATATGAGACCTCAAAGCCCGTATCCACAGTGACACACTTCCTCTTATAAGACCACACCTGCTCCAACAAGATCATATCTCCACTCCCTTTGGAGGCCATTTTTTCAAACCACCACATTCCACTCCCTGGCCCCCAAAGGCTTGTAGCCATATCATAATGCAAAAATGCATTCAGTCCAACTTCAAAAGTCCCCATAGTCTGTAATGGTCTCAAACTTAATTAAGTCTAAAGTTCAAAGTCCCTTCTGAGATTCATATGGAATCTTTTAACTGTAATCCCCTGTAAAATTAAAATTAAAAAAGTACATCACGGGCTGGAGAGATGGCTCAGAGGTTAGAGGCACTGACTGCTCTTCCAGAGGTCCTGAGTTCAATTCCCAGCAACCACATGGTGGCTCACAACCATCTGTAATGAGATCTGGTGCCCTCTTCTGGACTGCTGTCATACATGCTGTATACTTAATAAATAAATCTTTAAAAAAAAAAAAAAAAGTACATCACATACTTCCAACAAATAATGGCACAGGATATACATTACCATTCCAAAACAAAGGGAAGGGAGCATAGTGAGGAAATACTTGATCAAAGCAAGACTGAAAACCAGCTGGGCAAACTCCAAACTCTGCATCTCCATGTCTGATGTTAACACACTCTTCAGATCTCCAACTCCTTTCAGCTTTGTTTACTGCAACACACTTCTCTTTCTTGGGCTGGTTCCACTCCCTGTTAGTAGCTTTCCTCAGCAGGTACTCATGACATCTCTAACATCTTGGGTTCTCCAAGGCAATTCTGGCTTCAACTTCATAGCTTCACAACAGTGGCCTCTCTGGGTCTCCATTCAGGGGCACCCCTGACACAGTCTTGGCCTCAGCGGCTGCCCTTAACCACAGAAGAAGGTTCCATAACCCCTTTCTTCTATCCTTCACTCTAAAGCCAGAACCACATGGCCAAAGCTGCCAAGTTGTTCTGCTTACTGGTGCTGGAACATGGACCCCTGTTTAATTACATTTTCACCAGCTTTCTGTCCTTCACTGTCTAATCTTGGCTCTCCTGAAACTGGATCTGTAGGCCAGGCTGGCCTCAAACTCAGAGATCTGCCAGCCTCTGCCTCTGGAGTGCTGGGATCAAAGGCGTGTCACCACACCCAGCTCTAAGCTTTTCTTTAATTCCTTTTCACAAGTTGGAAACATAGCTGGGTGAGATCTTGTCCTGAGGTCACCACTTCCTTTATTCCATTTCTTAATCTGTTTATCTCCTTGAACAACACGACTTACCTCCATTCCACTTCCTGGTGCTTCTTTTCTCATCAAATATTTTTCCTTGCTCAGCTTGCTCCTTTTCATCATAAATCTTCATTAGAGTTAATGCTAGTAACCACACAACAAAGTCTATACTAGGCTGTTTTAAGATTTCCCCTGCTATTGAAATTAATCCAAAACTCTTCACTTTAGCCTCAGGCAAACTTTTCAGACAAGGGCAAAAAGGACCCACATTCACCAAAATATCACAAGACCAGTCTCTAGGCCACATACTAAAATTCTTTTCCTCTGAAACCTCTTGAGCCAACAGTTCAAATCATTATCAGCATCATTGTCTTCCATGCTCCTACTAGTATGGCTCATTAAGTATGCTTAAAGTATTTCACTGCTTTCCTAACCCAAAGTAACAATGTCTAAATTGCTCCAAAGAAAAACATGGTCAGGCCTATCACAGCAATACCCCAGTCCCTGGTACTAACTTCTATCTTAGTTAGGGTTTCTATTGCTGTGAAGAGACACCATGACCACAGCAACTCTTGTAAAGGAAAAACATTTAATTGGGGTAGCTTACATTTTCAGAGGTCCAGTCATTAACATCATGGTGCAACATGGTGGCATGTAGGCAGACATGGTGCTGGAGAAAAAACTTAGTGTCCTACATCTTGGCTTACAGGGAACAGGAAGTGGTGTGTTGCCTACATGTATATTAAGTGCATCACATGTATGTAGTGCCTGTGAAGGCCAGAAGAGGGCATTGGATTCCCTGGAACTAGAGTTATAGATGGTTGTGAGCTGCCGTGTGGGTGGTGGGACTCGAACCTAGGTCTTCTTAACTTTTCAGCCATCTTTGAGTGGCCTCCTCCATCCATACCTTTTATTGTTTTGTTTTCTAAATTGTTTCCCCTTTTGTGGAATGTAATTTCTGTTTTCTCTCCCCTAGGCCTACCTACAACAAGTTCAAGACCTGGTGATTTTAGAGAGTATCATTTTGCAGACCCTAGGTAAGTTTATTTTCCTTAAAAGCATGAAAACTTAGGTGTGAAATAATGATTTTTTTTTTTTTTTTTTTTTTTTTTTTTTTTGGTTTTTCGAGACAGGGTCTCTCTGTGTAGCTTTGCGCCTTTCCTGGAACTCACTTGGTAGTCCAGGCTGGCCTCGAACTCACAGAGATCAGCCTGGCTCTGCCTCCCGAGTGCTGGGATTAAAGGCGTGCGCCACCACCGCCCGGCGAAATAATGATTTTATGTAAAATTTGTAAACCTGGGAGGAAATCTTTTGAAGGTTTTGGGAAGTGTCTGTTACTGGGTAATAGTGGCTGTCCAGCTTATAGTTTAGCCCTGGTCTGTTTCCACAGTGTAGGTGTATGGTAACCCTTGAGACAGCCATTAGCTAGGATTTTGTTTTTAATTTTTCTCATTGTAAGATTTATCTTTTTGGCAGTTTTTAACCTGATAAATAATGACAGAAAATAAAGACTCAAGAGATCCACCTGCCTCTGACTCCTGAGCACGCTGGGATTAAAGGCGTGTGCCATCAGGTCCTCTGTAGACCAGGCTGGCTTTGAACTTTGCCTGCCTCTGCCTCCTGAGTGCTGGGATTAAGAGTGTGTGCAAGCACAACTGGCTAGTGAAGTAATACCTTTATTAGATAGGAACAAGTCCAGTCTTAATTCATAGTTACCAGTTATCCTGTTAGAATAATTTCATCATGTGACTTGTTCATTATATCTACATTATGTTTTCATTTTAACTTTATTTATTGTGAGACAATGTTTTACTGTGTAGACCAGGCTGGCCCTTGAACTCACTATGTATGTAGATTAGGTTGGCCTCAAACTTGCAGATACCCTCAGCCTCTTGAGTGTGCCACTATGCATGGCTGAAATTTTTATTTATGTGCTCAAAGAAATATACTTACGTTATTTTTATTTTCAATGCACTGAGCTTGTTTTGTAATTTTGGTAATGAACTTTTGAAATGGGATAATACAAACAGTATACATTAAAATGGAGCTGATGAAAAGGAACAAAGTGAGGTGAGAGGAAAGAGTTTGAAGGTTTTCTAATCCAACTCTCAGGTGGCAGAGGCCGAGGCAGGATTGCCAAGAGTTGCAGCTAGCCTCAGCCACAGAATGGGGTTCTGTCACACTTTGGTTTTCTTTTCACTGTTGAGCTTTAAGGGGCTGAGGGTATAGCTCAGTCGGTAGAATGCTTAGCATTCATGAACCCTGGGCTTGATAGCTAGGTCCACAGAACCTCACAAACTGGGTGTGGTAGCACATGCTTGTATTTCCAGCATTTGAGAGCTGGAGGCAGGAGGATCAGAAATTCAGAGTAATTCTCAGCATCATGGTGACTTTGAGACCAGCCTGGGTACATGGTGCTGTCTCTTCACACTCTGTACTTCCCCAAATGAAAGAACACTTTGGAAGGCACCTTTATTTGTATGACTGCTTCCTTCAACCTTGTACTCTATCCTTTCCTTCCTAAAAAGGATTAAAACTGTTTTTAGGTTTATTTTATGTGTCTGAGTCTTTTGCCTGCACATATGTCTGTGCCACACACGTGTGCCTGGGGCCCGCAGAGGTCAGAAGAAAGAGTCAGATCTTCTGGAACTGGAGTTGCGGTGAACCAGTCTAAACCACTGAGGCGTCTCTCCAGCCACTTGAAAAAGATCGTTGTGTGTGTTGTGTTTAGAGGTTTTGTTTCTTCAGTGGTCTTCATTTTAGAGAAAAATGTAATGAATACTGTGTGTGAATTTTAGTTCTTGCACAGTACTTTTGAGAGAGAAAAATGAACAGGCAATTAATGATTCAGACAAAAGAAGTGTAAAATGTGTTGTTTTTTTTTTTTTGAAGGGTTTGAATTAACAATTGATCACCCACATACACATGTGGTAAAGTGCACCCAGCTTGTTCGAGGTAAGTAACCCTAACTGTCTTGAATAGTTGAGTTACTTGGGGCTGTGCTTGGCTCTGGGCTAAGGCATGGCACAGCTGCTTTGTCCATACTAAGAGGCCTGCTTGGCTAGAATCAGGCACTTGGTTATGACCTATTGGAAAAAAGTGTTTTTAGATGCTCTCTCCCCCACAAGGTTTCTCTATATAACAGTCCTAGCTGTCCTCAGACTCAGACTGTAGACCAGGCAACCCTCGAACTCACAGATTCACCTGCCCCCTGCCTCCCAGGTGCTGGGATCAAAGACGTGTGCCCCCACTGCCCGCCTTAGAAGCTCTTAATTTAATGAGAATGTGAGGTTAGCATTACTTGTCATTTTGACAGGGATCACCTGGGAGACAAGCCTCTGGGTATTCTTTTGTTAATTGAGATGGGAGGCCCACCCATAGTGGACAGACCCATTCCCTGTCTAGTGGAGAAGGGGGTAAGCAGCAGCTGCAGTCATGGCTTGTTTCGACTGGAGGCCTGTGAGCAGCTGCTTGGGCTCTGTGACCTGACTTCCCACTGTGATGCATTGTACTGTGGGCAGAAGAAACCACACAATGCTAGGGTGTTGTATCAGAGCCACAGGAAAAGAAACAAAGTTAACTTCTGTTTGGTTGAGGATATTTGCCAGTGTAGGGGCAGATTTGGAAAAAACACCAAGTCACATGTATCTAAAACATTTTTCGCCGGGCGGTGGTGGCCCACGCCTTTAATCCCAGCACTCGGGAGGCAGAGCCAGGCGGATCTCTGTGAGTTCGAGGCCAGCCTGGTCTACAGAGCGACATCCAGGAAAGGCGCAAAGCTACACAGAGAAACCCTGTCTCGAAAAACCAAAAAAAAAAAAAAAAAAACATTTTTCAGAAATTCTTAGAAGTTGGTGGTCTTGGGCCAGCAAGATGGCTCACTCAGTAGGTAAAATCACTTGCCTCACCAGCCTGATGACCTGAGTTTGAACCCTGGATCCCACAGTAGTAGGAAAGAGCCGACTTCCAAAAGAAGTTGTCCTCTGACTTCCACACATGCTGTGGCATTCCAGCGCCCCACACCCACCCCAACACACACACCCAAGTATAGTTTATGTTTTAGAGTGGATGATCTCATCAGTTCATGTCTAGTTAAGGAAACCCCAATGATACAAACTTTATTTGAACTTATTTTTATGTGTGTAAGTGTTTTGCTTGAGTGTGTCTGTGCAGGACATGTGTGACTAGTACCCTTGGAGGTCAGAAGCGGGCATCAGATCTCCTTCGACTGGATTTGTAGATGGTTGTGAGCCATCATGAAGGTGCTGAGAATCAGGGCCTGGTTCTCTGAAAGAAAGGCCAGTGCTCTTAATAACTGATTGAAAAACTAGTTCTTAAATGATTAACTAATTAATTTTTAAATTTTTTTCATTTTTGAGACACAGTCTCACTTTGTAGCCCTGGCTGGACTAGAACTTATTAAGTAGACCAGGCTTGCCTGGAACTCAAGAGTTCTGCCTCGTAAGTGCTAGAATTAAAGGTGTGCACCACCATACCCAGCCCTGTTTATGGTTTTTGTTTGTTTGTTTGTTTTTGCTATAGAATTTGAATCTAGGGTCTTGTGTATGTTAGGCAAGTGCTCTGCCATCCAGTTACATCCCTAATCCTTAAAGATTCCTTTTACTTAAGTAGTATCAATAATATCTAGGGTGCTAGTTGTGGTGACACACACCCACATTCCTAGTACTTGGGAGGCTGAGTCAGGAAGGCTATTCCAAGTTCTAAGCTCTCCTGGGCTGCATAATGAGACCTCCTCAACAACACAAACAGCAGACAAAAAGGAACGTGTTGGGCTGGGCATAGAGCTCAGTGGTAGAGCATTTGCTGATATACATGGAGCCCTGGGTTTTATTCTGAGACACAAAGGTCTGGATATCATTGTGCATATAGATGTTTTGTAGAGTTTTTACATCAAGCTGATAATTAGCCTTGTTTTCATATTAATAATATTTCATGAAAATTGAATTTCCAGAAAATTCCCAGTTTCCCCAAGTTCTGTACATTGGAAGTTAAGTTTGTTTTTATGTGTTGGGGTGGGAGGTGGGGATGGTTATGTGCCATTGGCATGTGTGGAGGAGGCCAGAAGGGACCTTTTGGGAGTCGGTTCTCTTCTACCATGTGGCTCTAGGGAGTTGAACTCAGGCTGTCCAGGCTGATGGCAAGTGCCTTACCTCATTTCACCTGCCCAAGTTTGTACGTTTTGTACATTTGAAAAGCATTGAAGTAGATGGGGAGTGATGGCCCACGCCTTTAGAGGACAGCCTGGTGCACACAAAGAAACCCTGTCTTGAAAAAACCAAAAGGATTGGAAATCAGTAGTAGAGCGTGTGCTCAGCCTGCAAAAGGCCCTTGGTTCAATTGCAGCATCCCATTTCACTCTTCTCAAAATCCTTCATCTGCTTGCTTCCTTGGGTAGAATTTACACACCACGTACTCAGGCATTATCTTTGCCTAGTTTATCACTGTTTGTAGTACCTTACAGATAATAATGTGTTTTTTTACTAAGTGTCTTTCAAGAAGAATGGAACTAATAACTTCTTTTTCTTTTGTTTTGTTAGCAAGCAAGGACTTAGCACAGACATCTTACTTCATGGCAACCAACAGGTTTATATTTTTATTTATATCTTCTGTTTTGGGGTTTGGAATTTGGTCGGGCTGGACTTGTCACCTTTTGATGGGTATATAGGATCAGTTAGTAAACTAGAGCCAAAGATCATGGACGTAAACTTTGATCTAATGATTATAGACAATGCTCTGGAGAATGTGGATTTTTCTGCAGACTCTTTGTGCCTTGCATTTACATTAAACCTTTTAATTCCCTAGGGTTTTATAATTATTTAGCCTATCCAATTCGGTGTACTAACTTTGCTATAAAATGTTCAAGAGCATAATTCTGAAAATTCATGTAATTTAAGGGGTTGTTGATTTTCTTCTCTGCCCAAGCAATGAGCACTTAGTATGTAAGGATTTGCAATATGTTTTTCTTTTAGAAAAAGTTATTAGTGTATAACTTGTTCTAAGTGACTTGCTTGTTCTCATGTCTGATTTCCCATATTGTTTGTCCAGAGAAACTAATGACCTCAGTCATCAGTGTAAGAGTTTTAGTTTTAGTAAGTGGATAAAGAGCACTGTGGATGTAATTCAGTTCCTAGAGTGCTTGCCTAGTGTGCACCAGTTCCTGAATTAAATTTCCAGCACTACGTACATTGAGTATGGTGACCCATGTCTGTGAGCCTCAGCACTCAGGGCCCCGAGGCAGGAGAATCAGTAGTTCATGGTCATCCTCTGGACTATAGCAGGTTCAAGGCCATTCTGTGCTGTGTGAGACCCCTTCTTATAAACACAGACAGACAGGCACACACAAATGAGAGGGAGGAGAAACATTTCTGAAATAAGAGTCAGGTATTATTGTGGTTCTGTCTGTACTTCTCAGCAGTTGGGAGATAGGATTGCCGTGAGTTTGAGGGCAGCCAAAGAATGAGCCCCTGTCTAAAAACCAAATGACATCTTTTGGGGAAAAAATGATCAGGTATTTTATTTATACTTGAACAATTGTTTTTTATTGTATTTTTTCTTTTGATTTTTTTGAGACAGGTTCTCATGGCCCAGGCTAGCCTTGAACTGTGACCTCCCATGTGTTGGGATTTTAGGCATCTGCTCCTGTGTTGGCTTTGTTTTTTGGGTTTTTTTGTTTTTTTTTTTTTATTGTGTGTGTGGCTTTTTTTTTTTTTTTTTTTTTTGGTTTGTGACAGGGTCACAGTAATCTTGAAGGCTGGCCTCAAACTCACAGAGATCTGCCAGCCTCTGCCTCCCAATTGCTGGCGTGCGCTGCCATAGTTGGCTATCTAGTTTTTTCTTTTTTTGTTTTTGTTTTCTGTTCACTAATCAGTGCATAGATTGTGTGGTAATAGGAAATTTAGAAATGTTGTTAACCTGAGCAGTATTTTTATAGAAACTCACACTGAGGGGCTGAAGAGATGAGTCAGAGGGTCAGAGCAGCACATACAGCTCTTCCAGAGGACCTGAGTGCCACTCCCAGCATCCATTGTGGGGAGGTACACCACGACCCGTAATTCTAGTTCCAGGAGGTTTGACACCTCCAGCCTCCCTAGATACTTTCACTCATGTGCATGTCCCCCCACACAGACACGTACACATTATTGAAATGAAATCTTTTAAAGAAAGGAAAGGAAAATTGATGAGTACTGAATCAGAGCACAGGATGTTTCTTGTCCTTCTCACTCTCCTGTGGTTTTTGTTTTTTGGTTTTTTTGTTTTTGGTTTTTTAATAATGGAGAGTTTTAGTTTAGGGTTGAGAACTGAGGGCTCATGACACTCTCTGTTTCCTTCCCTTTGATGTCAGCCTGCATTTGACCACATTTAGCCTGCAGTACACACCTCCTGTGGTGGCCTGTGTCTGCATCCATCTGGCTTGCAAGTGGTCCAACTGGGAGATCCCAGTCTCAACTGACGGGAAGCACTGGTGGGAGTATGTTGACGCCACTGTGACCTTGGAACTTTTAGATGGTAAGTTTTAGTGTAAGGGACCTGGAACTGCTCTGCTTGCCTTGTCACATGTCTGGCCAAATGTGACTAGATTCCAATGAAAACAGTGAGTTAGCTGAGGTGGTTCTTGTTTCGTTACCTTCTTGTCTCTGAACATTTCTCGAATGTTTCATTTGTAGAATTGACACATGAATTTCTGCAGATTCTGGAGAAAACTCCAAGCAGGCTGAAACGCATTAGAAACTGGAGGGTAAGAATTACTGCTGACAAACTCATTCTTTCCTTTAGCTTTGCCAGTGAATATACCATAATTGGATATGTGCACTAGGTTTGGAATTTCCTTTTTCTTACTTAACAGTAATTGTGACTCGGTAACATGGATACTAGCTAAGATGTCAGTCTGTAGGGGACTTTGCTTTGGGTCCTGTACAAATTGTGCAGATTACCTTTTGCACAATTGCTTGGTCAGTGACATTGGCTGAGTTTTATTTATTTGGTTTGTTTGCACACATGTATTCACATGTAGGTGCACATGCCTGTGAGCATACATATGGAAGCTGGAGGTTCATCCCTGTGTTTTCCCCTATTGCTCTCCATTATTTTTGAGACATGGTCTGTCTAACTGAACCTGGAGCTCACTGTTTGAGCTAGACTGGCCTGAACTCCAGGGATCAACCTGTGTCTGCCTGCCTGTCTCCCTCTGCCCACCTCACTCTGGAGTCCCAGGTACATGCCACTGCGCTGGGCTTTTCCATGCCAGGGCTCTAAGCTCAGACCCTTAGGCTTGTAAGGCAAGTGCTTCACCCCAGAGCCGCCTCCAGTTGTGTTTTCTGTACAGTGGTGACTTCTGGGAGAGGAGAGTGGTATGCTCGTAATTACAAGGGTTGATTGTAATTTTATCTTAAAATGAGCCACTTTGAAAATGTTTTATTATTCTCCTTCTTCTAATTCTCTCTCCCTTCCTTCCTTTTAAAAAGATTTATCATTACATTTGTGCATGGTTGTGTATGCCTTTAATCCCAACATTTAGGAGACAGATCTCTGTGAGCTTGAAACCAGCCGGGGTTACATAGTAAGACTGTGGTGGTGGTGGGGATTTACTGTATTTTGTGTATGCGTGCTTGCCTGCATTTATGTGCATGCAGTGCCTTGGAGGCCAGAAGAGGGTGTCACATTCCCCTGGAACTGGAGTTACAAGTGGTTGTGAGCTGCTAAGAACTGAATCTAGATCTTCTGAAAGAGCAGAAGAACTGCTGAGCCATCTCTTCAGCCCTAGGATTTTCTTTCTATATGGGTTGCAGTCTAAAGTTCTCTAAATGCAGATATTTTTAGTCTTATGAATAATAGTCATTCCTTTTCCCTATAGCATCAGATAGATGAACTTGGGGTACAACTCAGTGGTAGGATCCAAGTACTTAGCATGCACAAGGCCCTGCACTCAGTCATCTGCACCCAAAAAGAAAGAAAAAAGAATAACGCCTTCCCCAACCCCTTTTGGAGACAAGGTCTTATGTCCCTGCAGTTGTCCCTGAGCCTTGCTGTTAGTAGAGACTGGCCTTGAACTGCTGATCCTCCTGCCTCTACCTTCTAGCTGCTGGGATTGCAGACATGTGCCACTATACGTGGAAATTCCCTAAGTCTGGGGAATTAGAGATCAGTGTTTGTCTCTAGAAGTTTAGGGTTAGAAGTAGACTTAAGAGCATGTGCTTCATCTTTAATTTTCATATAAAACCTCAACAAATTTTCTAGAGTTTATTTAAAGGCTAACTACAGTCATAGTTACACTGAATGCTTAAGAATGGCTTTTTTCTGGGTGTGATGATGGTGCATGACTTTAAGTCCTTAGGAGGTTCAGACAGGTGGATCTCTGAGTTAGAGACTTGCCTGGCCTATCTATTATAGGGAGTTCCAGCTCAACCAGGGCTACACAGAGAGATTCTGTCTCTAAATAAAAACAAGAAACCCCACCTCCAATACATATAAAGCAAAAAAAAAAAAAAAAAAAAAGGTTCTTAGTTGATGTTTCAGTATACTTCTACTTAGTGGATTGCCTGGAATGAATAAATTTTATTTGTTTCATTTTAGGCATACCAGGCTGCCATGAAAACTAAACCAGATGACCGAGGAGCAGATGAAAACACATCGGAGCAGACAATCCTCAATATGATTTCTCAGACCTCCTCAGATACAACTATCGCAGGCTTAATGAGCATGTCGACTACTTCTACTACAAGTGCAGTGCCTTCCCTTCCTGTCTCTGAAGAGTCATCATCAGGCAGTCTAACTAACGTGGATATGCTGCCGGGCGAGCGATGGCTGTCTGCCCAACCTCCTTTTAAACTCGAATCTTCTCAGGGTCATCGGACTAGTGAGAATTTAGCACTTATTGGAGTTGATCATTCCTTGCAACATGATGGCTCGAATGCATTTGTTTCCCAGAAGCAGACTAGTAAGAGCGTGCCATCAGCTAAAGTTTCACTTAAAGAATACCGTGCAAAGCACGCTGAGGAGTTGGCTGCTCAGAAGAGGCAGCTGGAGAATATGGAGGCCAATGTGAAGTCACAGTATGCATATGCTGCCCAGAATCTCCTGTCACACCATGACAGCCATTCTTCGGTCATCCTGAAGATGCCCATTGAGGGCTCAGAGAACCCTGAACGTCCTTTTCTGGAAAAGGCTGACAAATCAGCTCTGAAAATGAGACTCCCGGTGGCTAGTGGAGACAAAGCAGCCTCCTCCAAACCAGAGGAGGTAAAGATGCGCATTAAAGTCCACTCTGCAGCTGATAAGCACAATTCCGCAGAAGACAGTATCACCAAGAGCCGGGAACACAAAGAAAAGCACAAGGCTCACCTGTCCAATCATCACCACCATCACAATCACCATTCACACAAGCACGCTCACTTACAGCTGCCCGTTGGTACTGTGAGCAAACGTCCAGGTGACCCAAAACACAGCAGCCAGACCAGCACCTCAGTACACAAAGCCTATAGCGTGTCTAGTACTTTGTCTTCTTCGAGCTCTGCTCGTAAAAGGGGTGCCCCGGAAGAGACGGGGGCAGCAGTGTTTGATCATTCAGCCAAGATTGCCAAGAGTACTAAATCCTCTTCCTTGAATTTCCCCTTCCCTCCTCTTCCTCCAATGACCCAGTTGCCTGGGCATAGCTCAGACACAAGTGGCCTGCCCTTCTCACAGCCTAGCTGTAAAACTCGAGTTCCTCATATGAAACTGGACAAAGGCCCTCCTGGGGCTAACGGTCACAACACAGCTCAGTCAATAGACTATCAAGACACTGTGAATATGCTCCACTCCCTGCTCAGTGCCCAAGGTGTTCAGCCCACTCAGCCCCCTGCATTTGAGTTTGTTCATTCTTACGGTGAATATATGAATCCACGAGCTGGTGGGATCTCCTCCAGATCTGGCAATACAGACAAACCTCGACCACCACCCCTACCATCAGAACCGCCTCCACCACTTCCCCCTCTTCCTAAGTGAGAACAACATGAGGCGAAAACTTAAAAAACAAACACCTTTTGTTTTGGGGTTTTGTTTTGTTTTTGTTTTGACTACTGATACTGGACTACGAAAATTACATCCCTTATGAAATATGTCACCCTTGGACTAAGGAATAAATTGATATTGAGACAGGTGGGAGGGTGGTGGAGGGCCTCAGTTATTATATCTGCTGCCTCATACATCTATTTTCTTATAGTTTGTACTGGTATCAGAGAGGTAGGATTATGTTGAAGCTGTGAAGGATTAAGAACACTCTGTTCTTGGCCTCTCCTCATCCTGATGGGGTTGATTGGAGTAGTTATCTTCCCTCTTCTTGCCGGAACTGAAACATGGGGGGTAATCAAGCAATTGTGTTTAACGTATCAGAAGAGAGGAAGTATTTAAACGTCAGATCTTTAAGAGACTTTTAAAAAGTAATTTAAAGAAAGTAAGTTATCTGTTTAGTTTTTTTATATAATCGGGAAGGGGAAGGGATTTTGCTGTGTGTATGAGGTACATAGCAATGACTGGGGGTGGGGTTGGAGGGTGGGAGTGTGTGCAGGGTGGGTGGGAGGGTAGGCTTTGGCCAAGAGTGAAATAGGCTCAGGCCACTTGAAGTATTGAGACCTTTAAAGTGTGTGTGTGTGTGTGTGTGTGTGTGTGTGTGTGTGTGTGTGTGTAAAAATCATGTTACCTTTTTCTTCCCATTCTTAACCATTTTCACATCCCAACATTCTACTAGAGAGCATAGTTGGCCTTGAAAACATGAAGAGGCATGTATTGATATTGTAGATCATCCCCATACTGCAACACGTGTTTTATGTTGTAATGGAGTAGTGGCCCTCTAGTTTGTAGTTTGGACAGATGTAGCCAATGACCTGACTCTAGCACTATTATGAAAACTTCCCTTTTACCCCTTTTTGTGTTTTCAATGCAGATGGAGGTGGGACTGAGGAAGAAACTTAGAGAGCAAGGCCGGCTTCTGCCCTACAGAATTGGGCCTTTTCAGGTTGGGCTTTGGGAAAGCTCAGGTCTCTGAAGGAAAGAAAGGTGTGCTTCACATGTCCTGTCTGTCGGGGACCAGACCATGTGTGGTGATAGGTTTGGGAGAAGCCATTGAGTTATGATACTAAAGACAATGAAATTGTGATTTGGGATTCTAAGACTTCGCATTTTAAGTTACATTATGAATGTAATTCTTGCTTTTTATATGTATATCTAATGGGAAACAACTGCATACTTGTGATCGCAGCCTGTATGACTTCAGAGACAGTGGGAATTTAACAGCACTGGTGTAATGAGTGAGCAAGCCTAGCCAACAGACACTTGTGTTTAGATTGTTTCTTTTGGGTGGCTTTTGATGCTAGACAGAGATTCTTAAGAGTCCTGTTTTAAAAAAAAGTGGATCAGGAATCCTGTTATGGGGCTTGATTATTCCAGATGTTAGGGAATATTTTTGATGAAGGAAATCTTTGAAGAGATAATGGCTAGAAAAAAAATTCAAAGCCAAGCTATCTAACTGAAAATGCTACCTAGCCACAGATCATTGCTATTCTTTGGTTCATTGCTTGAAAAAAAAAAATATATATATATATAGATATATAGATATATGCACACACATGCATATGTGTGTGTACATTTTTTTGCTATGGAAAAGATGGTGCTATGAAAATAATTTGTCTCTTGTTTTAATTAGTGAAGCTTTTGTCATGCCAAGTAGTCTTTAGGGGGAGGTCAGATTCTTTTCATTGAAAGTCATAGGGAAACAGAAGTTGTACAGGTGCTGCTTGCCAAGAACAGACTAGGAAAACACTGAGGCAGTTACTTTTGATGTAATGGCCTAGTAGAGGAGAATGTATAGGAAGAATATATCTTAGGGTGACTTTGTGGTTATTAATCTGCATGTTTGAATTGTCCGGAGTGCCTGCCTTTGCTGTGTAAAACAAGGAGCTCCTTGCTCATCTATAAGCCAGTGATATTTCTTGGTATGCAAATTTTCAAGTGACATTTTCTTTCTTCTTGGTATTTCCTGTGTTGTGCAAGATAGATGTGTCATCATGATTACTAAATGTAGACTTGGTATTTGTTTAGACTTTGTTTCCCATCCTGTCCTTCCCAAAAGGGAATGTGCCGTTTAGTTTGCATCTGTATCTGTGAGATTGACAATAAGTGATTTGGGGAAATGTTCTGGCTTTTAATTACTCTCATTAATGTCACATATTTTCTAATCACATGCACTCCCTTACCACAAAGACTGTCGTATTTGCCGTTGTAGCAGTTCTTCATGGTAATACTGTAGTTAAATTTCTTAGGACTCTGTCAGTAGTGAACTAGAAAAAAAGTGCTTACTAGAGTCTAAAGAGCTACTTGATGCTGTAGTCTGGTCTTTCTACTGTAGATCAACACTGAATTTGGTTACTTTATAGACTTTTCCTGTATTACTTCCTTCTGGTTTTGTCTCCAGATAGCTACAATATCTGTTTTTAGGTCTGTGTATAGTTTCTGAACCTCCTCATGGGCTCTGCATGAACTGCTGCATTGTTTTTGGGTTAGCAGATATACCTGCCAGCTAGCATGCATATTGTGCAGTTTCTGTATAAATAAGGCTTCTAAGCCATGTGTGTCTCTCCCACCTTCAGACCTTCAAAGGTTGAGAAGTAGTATTTGTATATCTAAAGTCAGCCTTGTAAACTGGCTCTTTGTTTTTTCTTTTGATCTAAACTGTCAAGAAGAAGTGACAGTGGTAAGCAGGCTTGGAGCCTCAACTTCTGTAAATCTCATGCCTAGAATTTGCTTGACTCTTATGTTCGCAGAAATAAATACCTGTGGATTGTCTTTAGGGCTTTTAATCATACCTGTGTTGTTGGCTAAACTCTGGTGAATCATTAACCTAAAACCAGTGTGGTCTTCTGAAGTATCCAGTTATGCCTTTGGGTTTAGAAAAATACCTAAATACTAGTCTACTTTTCTCATTCATGAATCATTGTGTTTTTGTATCTGAGACTCTCAGCAACCTTTCCTTCTCGTAAATGACTTTAGTGTTTTGGTTTAGTGTATCCCACATATTTCTATAGTTAGGTTCACCGGCAATGATAGAAAAATCGAAATCTCCAATTGCAAACAGCAGTAGATTTGAGTATTGAAACAAAATCATGGTAACATCACTGCTGGGTTTCCTGAAGCCTTTGCAACCTAATTCCTCATTACCTCTCACACCTTGCTTCTAGACAAAGGCAGTTGGAGGGTCCTGTCTACCCTAGTATGGTTGGAATCTACATATGTGCGTTTCCATTATTTTGGGAACTGATTATTTTTTAAAGATTTTTTTCTTTTGTTGATGAGTTATTTTGATACTCATGCTAGGAAAAGTGAGAAATTAAGACATCTTGAGATTGGAATGCCTATTTTATTTTATTCTCCTTAGTTTGGGAGAATTTAAGCAGTCTATGCAACCTATCAGTTAGTGAGAAATAGCTTTCCACCATCCCCCACTGAGCTTTCAACGACTCATACCTCCCCAAATGTCTTGGTGTTGATTGAGTTTTGGATCTTGATGGTTTAGGAAGCATTCTTTTTGCACCAGGCTGTCATTTATTTCTTATTCCTCAGTGGATGTAAGTTTGAAAGAAGAATGGTACTGTAATCTTACTTGATGGAGTAGTCTAAATTCAGAATTGTTTCCTAAGTGGGCGAGCTCTCCGTTTTAATATAGCTAAAGTTTTTTAATATGAACTTGGCAATGGAAGGAGAGGGAAAAGAATGTTTAATAAAAATCAGTGTCTGCTCTTTCCCTTTATGAGTGAGTACTCCTGGTTACATGAAGAGAAACTCATGGGTTTTGTGTTGCCATGCCAGTTGTGGAGAGGGATGCTTGACAGCATGTTAATTGAAGCCAGAGCAAGTATGTCGCCCATCAGGTTATCTGGAAATGTCCGTGGAAGCAGAGGAGTGACGAGCTGATGACCACAGTAAAGTCACATACAAAATAGAAGTGCTGTCTGGCCTAAGAACTCAAAGAAAACAGTCACTGTAGGTGTAACTTGGGGTTCTGAACTTGAAACTGAGCTGTATTATCTTACTTCCCACACATAAAACTGTCCATTTTCTTATCAGACCAAAGAACGAAAAGAAAAAATAAAATGAAAAACAAAGTAACACACTTTACCAGTTTATGTCACTCAGGTACAATTTTTGTGGTGAGTTTTTTGTTGTTTTGTTTTTTGTCTGATTTTTGTACTGCTCAGCATATTATTCTGCTGTTGCCTCTGTACTCCGTGGGGCACCTCAGTTTTGGGTGCTACTCCTGGGATCTCTACTGCTGTTAGGTGAATGATGATAGGATGTAAGTGACCATTATCATAAGGGCTCTTTGTAAAAAACTTTAAAAACTCAAAAAAATTTTCAAGAAGGATATTGTATACATTTTATAGTCTGGCTCTCAGTTTGATATCTTGCTGTCAAGTATGTTTCTCAATCTGTATTTATCCATCCCATCAATAAACGTTAATGATGAAACTCCTTATTGTTGTTCGTATGTTCCATGTCCTTAAATTAGTCTTTGACTTAGTTTGTTGGATCATTACCACTTTGGTATTAAGTTCCTATCACACAGTATCCTGTGGACATTGAGTCCGTTGGGAGAGCTAAGATTTAACTACAACAGTGAACCTGGTAGTTGTAGTCAGAGGGGGAAAATGGTTTATACTGTTGCATGAGTACCTGGAAGAGTAAAAAAGTTACAGCTTTGCTATGATAGCAACACCTAAAAGCACTCATCTAGCAAGCATCAAGATACAGTTCGTAATTGTACCTCACATCTTTGAAAGGCTGAACAGTTAAGATAGCCACAGGGATGTCTTTGATAGACAGTGTGTTTTGTTCAGCCCAGCTGCCCTCAAAGGGCATCCTTTTGCTACACCCAAGATCTTGAGTGCTGAGCTAGATTACTGGCATGTACCACCACACCTGGTAGAATTACATTCTGAAGAAGACAAGTTAAATTTCTTGATAATGTGGAAAAACAGTGAACACTATATAAGGTAGCTCTTACAAGTTACACACTTAGAGGAAAAGAAATGTGCACAAGTGTGTCCAACTTTAGGATTACCAGTAGTGGAAGATCTCTACAAGGGGGCTGATGAGATGATGACCTTGTGGGTAAAGGCACTCAGTGCCAAGCCTCACAATCCCTGGGATCCACATGGTGGGAGAAAATTGACTCCCACTGGTTACCCTTTAATGTCCACACATATACTTCCCCACACCCAAATAAATATAATAAAGATTAAAAAGGAAAAGGACACTTAGAAATGATTTATTATTTTTATTTCGTGTACATTGGTGTTTTACCTGCATATATGTGTGCGTGAGGGCGTCAGATCTCCTGAAACTGGAGTTACAGATGGTTTTCACATTTATTTGGTTGCAGATTCTCTCAAAAGATTGTCTTTACGATCAACTCCAATCACATCTGCTCTTTGGTTCATGGCTAGCCCTTATTTAAATGAATCTGACAGCAGATACAGAGGGCTATAGTACAAACGGAATAAACTACAACAGAATGTCTGGAGAGTTGGATTTCTGTAGGAGGTGTGGTTGGAATCTTTAAAGGAGCATGGAAGCGGAATAGCCTGCCATTGATAGAACACACTATCGAGGATTTTAGAGAAGCAGGGTACAGAGTTCATAAGAAGCATGGTCTACACCAGAACTCATTTTGGTTTTCAGTCAGCTTATCCATAAAACGGAGAAAATAATTTCTACCTCTTAGGGCTGCTCTAAAAAAACGAATTAGTGCATACATAGTATTCTCCAGACAGCCAAAAACATGTTCGAGTATTGTACATGAAATGACCAGAAAATGATTTGAACTGTACACAACAGAAAACTAATAAAGCCTTTTCATGTATAAACAGGGTCAGCCTCTGTCCAATGTTCTACTTGCTGTGTAGGGACCGTAAGGAGGTAGCTGCCCGGGAGGACTGGAGTCCAGGGCCCTCAGAAAACGAACCACACCGAGATGGAAAAATATCCGGACCTGGCGTCTGGCTGTGGCCCGCCTTTCCGATGGTCCACTCACGGGCCGAGTTTCTGACAGACAGCTCACCTCAGCCACTCGCGTTGCGTAGTTTCTCACTGTCCCGCCCTCCTCGAGCTGATGTGTTGGCCTTGGCCAATAGAAGCACATCACCGGCAGAGCAGCGGCCAATCAGCGTTGAGGGGCCGCAGGGCCGCGTTCCGAGCCGCCAGAGCGGCCAGAGGGCGAGCTGCGCGACGCAGCGCGGCGGGGAGGTAAGATGGCGCCGCGCCTGGCGCTTCCGCTTTGCGGTTAGGTGGCTGCTCGCCCTTTCTGTCGGGTCAGCGCGCCACTCCGTCTCCTGCCGCGCCGGTGCCACTCTTGATTGCTAGGCGTCCGGGAACCAGGTTCTCGGGTGCCGGGAGCCGCAGGACAAGATGGCGCTCGCGGGGCGCCTCGGCGCCGCGAGCCGGGGCCCTGAGCCCTGAGGCGGCCGGGGACAAAGGCGGCGGCGGGCCGGGGCGTGGGGGCGGGGCGCGCCGTTGCAGTGGTGCCGCGTGGGGCTGGCGCGGCGCTTCCGGTCTGCGGCGGCGGCGGCGGCGGAGATTCGGCCAACGTGGTAGGGGCCGGAGCGGCGGGCGGGTGGCTGGGTTAGCGACAGAAGCTCGCGGAGGGCGGCGGGAGTCACGGCGCCACCCTCGCCTGGACGGCCGGCGGGCCGACCTGCGGAGGAGGAACGCAGACAAGGACTCTGGGCAAGGTTAAGGCCATTTTGATGTTTCGTGTGACCCCCTCCGTCCCCCGACCCCCGCAGGTTTTGGTATGAACAGGATTCGGATTCACGTCTTGCCAACGAATCGGGGGAGGATCACCCCAGTGCCCAGATCGCAGGAGCCCCTTTCTTGTTCCTTCGCTCACCGCCCATGCTCCCAGCCGCGCCTGGAGGGGCAGGAGTTTTGCATTAAGCATATTCTTGAAGACAAGAATGCACCCTTCAAACAATGTAGCTACATCTCGACGAAGAATGGCAAACGGTGTCCCAGCGCTGCCCCCAAGCCCGAGAAGAAAGATGGGTATGTGCGGATGCGTGTGAGACTTGAACCCAAGGCTCGTGCGCGCAAAACCCCCAAACGCCCGAACCCTCCTGCCTTTAGGGTTTTGTTTTTTTTTATTACATGTTGAAGCATTTATTTCCAGTTCGTAGTGTGTTGTGTGTGGGGTCGTGCACTGGTCACGGCACATGTGTGGGGATCAGAGGGTAATTGGCTGGAGTCGGTTCTACCTCGTGGGTACCAAGATAGAAGGTCGTTAGGCTTGGCTCGCAGAGCCATGGGGCCGGCTCCTCTGTCGTTTTGTTTTGTTTTGTTTTTTTGAGACAGTATCTCTCTGTGCCCGGAACTCCCAGTGTGGACCGGGCTGGCTTGGAACACTTAGGGCAATCTTTGACAGTTTTTTGTTTTTTTTTTTTTTTTTTTTTTTTTTTTTTTGTTTTTTTGAGACAGGGTTTCTCTGTGTAGCTTTGCGCCTTTGCTGGGACTCACTTGGTAGCCCAGGCTGGCCTCGAACTCACAGAGATCCACCTGGCTCTGCCTCCCGAGTGCTGGGATTAAAGGCGTGCGACACCACCGCCCGGCTGACAGTTTTTTTTTTTTTTTAAAAACATATACATGGGTGTTTTGCCTGCATGTATGTTTGTGTGCCACGTTCGTGCTTGACGCCAGCAGAGGTCCGACGAAGGCATTGGATCCCCCGGAACTGGAATTACAGATGGTTGTTAGGAATCAAACCCGGATCCTCTAGGAAGAGCAGCCATTTGCTCTTAACGCTGAGCCTTCTCTCCAGCTCCATTTTGGCAGCCTTTGGCCTTGAGAGTGCTGGGATTATAGATGTGGACCACGTCCTGCTCTCCTGCCTTGGTTTTTTTTTTTTTTTCTTTAAAGACATGGTCAGTGTACATAGCCCTGGCTGCCCTGGAGTTCATTATGTAGACCAGGATGTCCTCGAACATATCGGGATCTATCTCCTGAGTGTTGGGGTGCACCAGCACGCCTGTCCCCTGCCTTCAGTTTTAAAATGAAAGAGGACCTTAATATGTAGGCTTGGTCATATCTGTGAAGGATTAAGGATATATTCTTTGGGAGGGGGATCCAGACATTAAAAGATTAGAACTGAAGCTGGGAGGTGGTGGCCCACACCTTTAATCTCAGCACTGGGAGGCCGAGGTCGGTGGATCTGAGTTCCAGGACAGCCAGGGCTACACAGAGAAACCTGTCTGGAAACACCTTCCCCAGTGATGAGAACTGGAAGGACACCTGAGGCAGGGTCATTTAGGTAATTGCTTACTTGTAAAATTAAGTGGCTTTTTTTTGGAGACAGGTTCTGATTGTGGTCCAGACTAATTTGGAACTCCTAATTCTCCTGCCTCAGGGGTTACTGTCTGCACAACCATACTCAGCTTTAAATTTTTTTTATTTTTTTAATGTTTATTATGTGGATACACGGGGGGCTACCACACACAGGTGGTCAGAGGACAGCTCCTGGAGTTCGTTCTCCTTCGCCATGTGGGGATGGAACTCAGGTGGTCTGGCTTAGCAGGAGGTGCATTTGTTTGCTGAGTCATCGAACTGGCCTTCTAAGTTAATTCTTAATGCTGGAGTGCTGACTCACTTGCCCAGCCTCGTTCCTTGCTAAATAACAGGCACACTATGTATACGTGTGTGTTTTGGAAGGGTCTTCATAGCTTTTATCATGTGTGTACTTACCTGTGCAGGAATGTGATTTTACTAGATAATTTGTATACATCTTTCAATTTTAAAATTGAACCATACCTATCTGTGGTGGTAGTAAAATGTGTTTCCAGAATTAGTTTTGAAAAATAAAAGCATCTCTTTGATTTTCTGTGAGCTGCTGTTAACATTTTTACGGTTAGAATGTTCTGTCCGATGACTAGAACACTGGTTAAGCTACTTGCATTTCCCTTTAGTAACAGCTAGTGGGCTGGGGAAGTAGAGTGGTGTTAGAGCCCTTCCATGCATGGGGCTCTGGGTTTGACTTTGAGCAGCACACACACCACACAAAAGAAAAAAGCCCAAGTGGGTTGACTTGGGGGCAGTTAAGTTTCTGATTTGAATTCCTTTTTCTTTTTTATTTTTGTGACAGTATCTCATTATGTAGCCCAGGCTGTCCTGTAACTCACTCTGTAGACCAGGCTGACCTCGAACTTGAGAATTCACCTGCCTCTGCCTCCTGAGTGCTGGGATTAAATGCATGCACCACCACACCTGGCCTTCACACTGGTCTTCAAGGTGTGAACATAATCATTTGAAATTTCCTAAAGACAAAAAAATTAATTGGTGACTGAACATTGCTGACTCCTTTCAAGAGAGAACCTATTAAATATTCCTGTTTGTCTCCTTAGGGTGTCTTTCTGTGCTGAGCATGCGCGAAGGAATGCCCTAGCACTTCATGCTCAAATGAAGAGGAACAACCCAGGCCCTGTGGG